ATGGTTGTAGTTTTGTGCTCGGGCTCGGTGCTGGTGATGGTGCATGGTGCTGGTGTGCTGTTGGTGCTGGTGGTAGGTGGGGCGGTGGTGGTGGTAGGTGGTGGTGGTGTGGTGGTCGGTGGTGTTGGTGGTGGTGGTGGTGGTGAGTACAGTGCGGCGCGTGTGTGGCGGGCGCTGTGGCGCTCGAGGGGAAGAGGCAGAAGAGGCCCGCGCTGGGGCGCCAACCTGAACGACGGAGGCCAAACACCGATCCGAAAATGAGGCCCACGCCAGCGGGAGCACGATTCGGAACGACTCGGGAGCAGAAATGAGGCCGGCGCCTCAGCGAGAGCAGCATTTTGAAAAAAGCGCAGGCGAAAACCCGTTTCCCGGGAATCCTGTGTGTAAAAAACAGTACGCGGGGGGGGTCGGCCATCTTCGGGACGCCATCAGGGGAAGTGGGAGAGTATTTTCATATTGTGTAAATGTGTGCTAAGTTGTGGAGGAGGCGGAGGAGGAGGAGGAGGAGGAGAGAGGAGGAGGAGGGGAGGCGGAGGCGGAAGGGTGAGGGGGAGGAGAGGAGGGACGAAAGGGGGGAGGAAAGGGGAGGAGGAGGAGGAGGAGGAGGAGTGAGGGAGGAGGAGGAGGGTCTCTCTCTCTCTCTCTCTCTCTCTCTCTCCCCCACACAGACAGTCACACACACACACACCTCGCACACACACACACACAGTCACACACACACACACACCTCGCACACACACACACACACACACACACACACACACACACACACAGACACACACACACACACACACACACACACACACACGCGCGCACACACGCCTGGACCCGCCTCGAAAGGCGGGCCACGACCTAGCTCACCCCTACGGGCGCGAAGGGAGCCTCAAGAGGAGAAGACGGCATGCACACGCGTGCTCGGGGCTCACCGCGGGTGTCTTGGATCTGCGCTGGAGCCCCTTGGCGGTGCCTCCGTCGCCGGCCACGGCGCGTTCCGCGCGAGGGAGGGGCTTCCAGCGCAGGTCCAGAAATGCGCGCGGACCCCCCAAAGTTGTGTGCTGCGCCGTCTTCTCTTCCCCTCCAGTCGCGCTTCGCGCGTCGCGGCCTGGACTGGAGAGTCGCCCTTCTCCAAGGGGGGGGGGCGGCGAGAGGGTGCGAAGATTGTCGCGCGTCGCGGGGCGCGATGTTCGAAGTGTGGTCACCCAGCGGTCAGGTCAAGTTGGCCAGGTCGAACGGGTCGACGGGCCCCGCCCAGTCCCTCCTTCCCTCCCCCAGCAAAGGAACAACTTGTGGCACAACTCGGTTTTGATTTGGAACGCCCTCCTACACAGCGAACGGGAGACTCTCGCGCGCGATCCCGCGTCCGACGACTTGGCGAACGGGCAGCTACGCGGGCCGCGCGGAGGCGGAAGCAGAACTTCGGTAAGCCCTGCAGCGGCGCTGCGGCGATGGCACCGGTCGGCGCCCTCCTGGGCGGACAGGTCTTGTTCATCCACTCGGTGGGCGAAACATGCGCCGCGGGAGGAGGAGGAGGAGGAGGAGGAGGAGGAGGAGGAGGAGCCCACGCGAAAGCGCCACTCTCGGGCGAAGTCTGCATGCAATTTTCTGGCGGGAGCGAGGGGGCCGCCTGCTCGCGTGCGGCCCCGTCCCCCGATAGCCTGGCGAGCGAAGCAGATGCTCCGCGCCGCCGCGGCGGAGGCGCCACGTGCAGGCGGCGTTGCTCTCTGCACTGCCCCGAGTTGCTGGAAAGCGCTCTGGAATACAGTCAACGCGCCTAGTAAGGACGCGCGCCTTCATCTAAGGTACCCTTTGTGTCCTTGCCTCTGAGGCCCGTCCTTGCCATCATCACTGGTCGCCCGCCGCCCGAAAAGACCCAACTTCGAACTCCAAGGGTCTTGCGTCCTTACCACCCGTCCTTCATACACGTTTTGACTGTAGTGACGATCCCTTATTCGCAGCGCGCCGGGCCTATTTGAGAAGCAGGATATGGGGCCTCCGCCAGCTGGGTAGCCTCGTAAGCATCTGTATCGAAGACGCCTACGGCGAATCACCGCCGCCCCCTGCCTTTTTACCTAACAGCGTAGACTGATAGGTTTCTAGTTGACTCAAAAGAGCTCACAGATCACTCCACAGGGGGGTCCGGGCAGGCGTTGGGAGTTGCCGGCCAGGCCTGTGCCGGGCTCGTTTTTCACCAACAGTCACACACTTCGTGCTCGTCGACCTCTCAGAACCCCATTCCCAGGCCACATTCTGAATAACCGGATGCAACAGTCACACACTTGGTGCTCTTCGACCTCCCAGAACTCCATTCCCGGGCCACATTCTGAATGCCCGGAGCCAACTGTAGGCCACTTCGTGGTCTTGAAGTTCCCAGAACTCCATTCCCGGGCCACATTTTGAATGCCCGGAGCCAACTGTAGGCCACTTC